CTCGACCACGCCGCGGGGCGCGGGCATTCCCAGCCCGCGTCGATGAGGATCGCGATCACGGCGGAGATCGGGCCGACCATCTCATGCCACTTCTTTTTGCCGAGCTTCACCGTCCGCGGGATGATCCTCCGCCGCGCCTGGTCGGTGCGCAGGAGATGGATGCTGCGGGTGGTCAAACCCTTTCGGGCATCGAGCCGCTCCTCCTCGCCCCTGGTCGCTGCAAGAAACTCGGTCGCCAAATCGCCACGTTCGGAAGACGGTCGATGCAAGAACGAGCTACTACACGTGACGACGACGGCGAGACGATAAGGACGATGACGACGAAGCAGATCTTGGCTGGCCTTTTGGAGGATCCCCAAGTCCGAGACCGAGCTTATTACTCATATGCTTAGCTGGTACGTCAGCTGGGCCAAGGCCCCCCCCCAAGCACTCCCAGGAGCTCTGCCTGTTTTTCGGGTCCTTCGGGGTTCCTGGAGATCGGGGTGGTCATCTCTTTGGGGGCGTTCCAAATTCTCAGGCTTCTCCGCGGCTCGTGAGGCTCCAAAGGGACTTCCCGAGGGCCGCGGAGGACCTGGACTCTGGAGGAGACGCGTGTAGATCTATCAGCTTGAACCCAGGAGGACTAACCGACCAGGGCGTTGTTGAGGAGCTCTCGTCATTGGATTTCACGGATCTCCGAGCCCGATGTCTCTCGCATGCTGTCCCTCCGCGTCGCCGGCAGGCAGAGCGCGCTGACCCAGCCGCTCCTCCATGCGACGAGGCGCTCGCGCAGTGGCAGCGTGATTGGCAGCTGGACACAGACAGGACAACAGCTGTGCGGATGCGGCTTCTCGATCCGACGGGACCTGCTAAACCGCGTGCGACAAACGCACGTGCGACATTTGTGCAGTAGTGGCCCCTGACAAACACATGTGTTGTATGCCGACGCGTTTTTGGGTGCGAAGGACATGCATGCAAGCACTTTCAAAGTGCGATTCGTCAGTACGGGGAACGCGTATTGTCCTCCATCTACAGCCAGCGGTATCCCTTACATGCATTTTGTGTGGGTGCCGAGCAGCCGACTTGGACGATCTTTGCCGTCGTCTCTGTAGCCATCTCCCTCGAAGCGTGCAACCTCCTATTCCACCCGATGCCAAACCATCGCAGCTCGACGGAACGGGATAGTCCAGAGTGGTTGCAGTCGCCCCCATGCGCTGGGGGAGAGTCAAGCAGAGCACGCCTCAGCAAGGACGTGAAAGGCAAGATCCAGGCGGGAAAAGGACACGGCGGCATCATATGTCAACTCGTCGTGCTTCTCCCAAAGCTCGCGCTCACGGACAGTTGTACCTTCGCCGAGTTCACAGCCGGAGTCTACGCCGCGTATACGACGGACTTCGTAGACGACTGATTTACAGACGTGATTGAAGGAACAGGAGGCCGATGCCAGGAGCTGTCGCAAGAGCTGGCGGAGAAATATATTTATAATAGGAAGAAGAAAGACGAGGCAGTGGACTACAAATCCAGGGGGCCACTTCACATCCGTGTCTTCATGATGGCGATCGCTATCACGTTCCTCGCGAAGCAGAACGCCGACTGGGGCAAGACGCTCGAAGGCATCTACCAGAAGCGACTGCAGACCATGCCGACGCTCAAGGTCGGGGAGGTGGCGCTTCACTGGCAGTGGAAGCGCAGCGAGAAGGAAGAGAACGCCGACAACAGAGGCAGGGTCAGTATGGCCCTGGCCAGCAACCGCGAGGTGGCCAGAACCATCGTCCCAGTGCTGCGGGCAGCCATCCTGGACATGGGCGGGGGGCGGCTCGTCGGACTCGCGCCCTGCAGACCACTGGCGCGAGGCGCCTCGAAGCTAAAAGCTGCAGAGCCAGTTGAGGAAGGCCCGAGCTCGAGCACGCGACTCTGTGAGTTGATTGCTGCAGGGCGTGTTCCCGCAGACGTGCTGGAGAGGCGGCGGGCTCCCCCGCCCGCCATTTATTATTATTATTATTATTATTATTATTATGGTTATTATTATTATGATGATTATTATTATTATTATCATTATCATAATAATAATGATTATTATTATTATGACGATGATGATGATGATGCTGATGATGATGATGATGATGATGATGCTGATGATGATGATAATGATGCTGCTGATGATGATGATGATGATGATGATGATGATGATGATGATGATGATGATTCTTCTTCTTCTTCTTATTATTATTATTATTATTGTTATTCTCATTATTATTACTACTATTATTATTATTACTATTATTATTATTATTATTATTACTATGATATTTCATTATTTATATATTTTTTATCCCCCCCCACGGCCTACGGCCCCCACCTCCCGGCTGTCCCCACGGTGCACTTGCGCCAATTCTCCTTGCCAGGGGACGGGGTGGGGGAGGCAGAGGAGGGAGGAGCCAAGGCAGAAGCGTGGCACGACAGCAAAAGAAGCGCCTCGCCTCGACACGACGGCAAGAGAAGCCTTTTTTGCTCGCCTGTTTCGGAGGAGAATGATCTGTGCCGGCCAGGCGACCCCGAGGCATCATGAGTGCAATTCATCAGTCCCATGGGGGCGCCTCTCTGGCTGCGTGCCGTGTGCGAGGGTGTATTTTTTTTGCTCTTTTTTTGTTTTTAAAAGGGCGGTGCGGCCCCGTACGAGAGCGGAGGCCGCCGCGTAAGGTTGGCGGCCAGGAGTGCATAGCCCCTCAGAGTTCACGCAAGGCGATGCCCCGACCATTCGCTCGCGAGCAATCCAGCAGACGCTCGAATTCCAGAAGCCCGAACCCGATCCCGATCCTCCTCCTCCTCCTCCTCGTCCTTTTCCTCCTCCTCCTCCTTCTCCTCCTTCTCCTCCTCCTCCTCCTCCTCCTCCTCCTCCTCCTCCCCCTCTTCTTCTTCCTCCTCCTCCTCCTCCGCCCTCCTCCTCCGCCCTCCTCCTCCTCCTCCTCCTCCTCCTCCTCCTCCTCCTCCCCCTCTCTCCTCCTCTCCTTCTCCTTTGCGTCCTCGTCGTCGTCGTCGTCGTCGTCGTCCTCCTCCTCCTCCCTCCTCCTCCTCCTCGTCCTCCTCGTCCTCCTCGTCGTCCTCCTCCTCCTCCTCCTCCTCCTCCTCCTCCTCCTCCTCCTCCTCCTCCTCCTCCTCCTCCCCTCCTCCTCCCCCTCCTCCTCCTCTCTCCTCCTCCTCCTCCTCCTCCTCCTACTCCCTCCTCCTCTCCTCCTCCTCCTCCCCTCCTCCTCCTCCTCCTCCTTTTCCTCCTCCCTTTTCCTTCCTCCTCCTCCTCCTCCTCCTCCTCCTCCCCCTCCTCCTCCTCCTCCTCCTCCTCTTCCTCCTCCTCCTCCACCTCCTCCTCCTCCTTCTCCTCCTCCTCCTCCTTTCCTCTTCCTCCTCCTCCCCCTCCTTTTCCCTCCTCCTCCCCCTCCTCCTCCCTCGTCCTCCTCCTCCTCCCCTTCCCCCTTCCTCCTCCTCCCTCCTCCTCCTCCTCCTCCTCCTTGTCCTCCTCGTCCACCTCGTCCTCCTCCTCCCCCTCCTCCTCCTCCTCCTCTCCTCCTCCTCCTCCTCCCTCCCCCCCTCCTCCTCCTCCTCCTCCTCCTCCTCCTCCTTCCCTCGCCGCGGGACATCCAGATCAGCTTGTCGAGCTGCGTCTGGCCGTGGTCACGAGATGCCCACCCGTCGAGGCTGGCCAGGACAGGGGGAGAGCGGCGACGGGACTTCCCGCCAAATTGGGCTTCGGTCTGAGCAGAGGAGTCCAGGCAGTCCTCCTCCTCCTCCTCCTCCTCCTCCTCCTCGTCCTCCGCGTCCTCCTCTTCCCTCCTTCCTCCTCTTCTCCCTCCTCCCTCCTCTCTCCTCCCTTCTCCCTCCTCCCTCCTCCCTCCTCCTTCCTTCCTCCTCCTTCTCCTCCTTCCCCCTTCTCCCTCCTCCCTCCTCCCTCCTCCCTCCTCCCTCCTCCCTCCTCCCTCCTCCCTCCTCCCTTTCTCTCTCCTCGTCCGCGTCCGTCCGTCCGTCCGTCCGTCCGTCCGTTCGTTCGTCCGTCGTCCGTCCGTCCGTCCGTCCGTCCGTCCCGTCCGTCCCTCCTACTCCTCCTCCTCCTCCTCCTCCTCCTCCCTCCTCCTCCTCCTCCTCCTCCTCCTCCTCCTCCTCCGCCCTCCTCCTCGTCCTCGTCCTCCTCCTCCTCCTCCTCCTCCTCCTCCTCCTCCTTCCTCCTCCTCCCTCCTCCTCCTCCCTCCTCCCTCTTAGCGCTTCCTCCTCTCCCTCCCTCCCTTCTTGCCTTCCTCCTTTCCCTCACTTCCCTCCTGCCTGCTCCTCTCCCCCTCTCTCTCTCTCCTCTTTTTTCACTCCCTCCTCTTCGCCTCGCGGTGCTGTTACACCGCGTGCGCGAGAACTGGGCGCTGCTCCGGCTGGCGGAGCCGTGCTGCAGGCTGGGCTGCGCCAGCCTCCAGCCAATCGGAAAAGCGGGCTGTGACCGGGGCGCTTCGTCGGAGGTTGCCAGATGTGATGCTGACCAGAGGTGGCCCTCCTCCTCCTCCTCCTCCTCCTCCTCCTCCTCCTCCTCCTCCTCCTCCTCCTCCTCCTCTGGCCAGATGTGGCCCTCCTCAGGCCTCCGCGCCATGTCGACGTCCCTGAGTGCCGCTGGCCGTTTTCGTGAGGGGGCGCTCTGGAGGCCATCCGGGCCTCCCAGGGAAACTGGGGTCGCCCTGGGCCAGGGTCACCCCGGCCAGCGCCCAACCTTTTGTGGCGAAGGAGCCTGGGGCGACACCCAGTCTGAGGCGGTGGGCAGTGAGCAGGTCAGCGTGGACATTGACCACCCACGTTGACCCCTCACGGGTAAACTCCTCCTCCTCCTCCTCCTCCTCGTCCTTCTCCCCCTCCTCCTCCTCCATTCTCCCTCCCTCCCTCCCTTCCCCCCTTCCTCCCTCTTCCCTCCCCCCTCCTCTCTGTTCTCCCTCCCTCTCTCCCTCCCTCCCTCTCTCCCTCTCCCTCCTGGAGCTCTGGGGTGTGGAGGGGAGGCTCGAACGCGCAGCCCATACTGACCACGAGCAGCCAGGGCATGATCGGCTTCGCGGGCCTGTGGAACCTCGCCGATCCGGCCCCCGCTCGGGGGGGGGGGGATGACGCCTCCTGCGAACTCCCGCCCTCCTGGAGGGCATCCTCCTCCCTCCTCCTCCTCCCTCCTCCTCCTCTCCCTCTCCTCTCCTCCTCCTCCTCCTCCTCCTCCTCCTCGTCCTCCTCCTCCTCCTCGTCCTTCGTCCTTCGTCCTTCGTCCTCGGAGGAGGAGGAGGAGGAGGAGGAGGGGGAGGAGGAGGAGGAGGAGGAGGAGGAGGAGGTTGTCTCGTCTGCTCCGGCCCTGGGCAGGGAGGGCCGGGCAGGCGTCGCCATGGGGGGGCAGCGGGCCCCGAGGGCAGCGGGTCTCCCGAGGTCTTTTTCGTCTTTGGCTCTTTGAGGCCCGCCGCGGGCCGCCAGGGCTGTCAGAGCACGGCGGAGGGGGAGGATCTCTTCCTGGGGTGAGGCCCTGGTGTCCAGGACCTCCTCCTCCTCCTCCTCCTCCTCCTCCTCCTCCTCCTCCTCCTCTCGGGTCTGCACGAACGAAACGGGTACCGAAAGAATGGGTACAATGCCCAACAGCACTTCCTGTTCATTCTGAACAGGACTCGCTGTCCGAGCCTCCGCGGCCTGTGTCCATTTGAGACAGCAGGCCGCCCGCCCAACAGCGGCCGCTGCTGGTTTGGGACAATATTTGCTGTTGGGCATTGTACCCATTCTTTCCGTACCCATTTCGGGCGTCCAAACTGGGGTCCAGGACCCCTTTTCCCTCGGGACCCACCTCCCCATGCTGAATACTGTGCTGACGGGGAAGGGGCGAGCTCAGACATCCGACATCCGGCCGCTCCAAGGTTTGCGATGCTCTTGCGCCGACCACTTCCCCAAGGGCCGGTTTGCTTGTCCCGAGGCGTTCCCTGACGCCCCCGAGGCCTGGCGCGGGCCCCTGGAGGCCGAGCTTCCCAAATCCCGCCGCTCCGATTCTGCTGGAGCGTCGGATCTCTGGGAGCCCGAGCCTGCCGCGCCCCCCGCGAGCGCGCGCGGGAGTGCGCCGGGCTCCACGTGGACGCCGTCCCCGCGGCGCGGTGGTGGGCGCTCGGCGCCAGCCTTTCAGGACACACATTCGCAGGGCAGCGGGATCCTGTCGGTGGCCAGCCAGGCCCACCAGCCGAGTATCTTGGTCATCCGATTGCGGGATCGACTGCAGCATGAACTGATCCCAGGCTTGACTGTACTGGCCTCCGGCCAGTGCCGCCGATCCGGGGGGCTCCGGATTCGGTGATCTTCGCGGCTCTGTGGCCTCCTCCCTCCTCGATTCTTCTGGTCCTCTTTCTTCTCCTCTGGTGGGGTGCCTGGAGCGGTCCCGGGGGGGGGTCCAGGGAGGGTTCCGAGGGGAGGGTCCTGGGGGCGGTAGCGGCTAGATCAGAGGGGGGTTCCAAGGACCCCCCCGAGACATTTTGGGGATGCGCAAATCATTAAGAAAACGCCAGATGGGGGACCGCCCCCCCCTTCCCCCCCTGGTCCGGATGCGCAAACCATGAAAACGCCAAATGCCCCCCCCCCCCCCGCCCCACCCCCCCGCCCCCTCCCCCTCCCCCCCTTCCCCGGCTGAGCCACCCCGGCGACACCCCCAAGCAGAGCTGAAGCTCTTGCTTAGGCTCAGAGCTGAAGCTCTTGCTGAGGCTCCTTGTAGTTCACACGCCGGATCGGCGGATTTTCCCGTCGAGTCTGCGTCAGAGAACGTAGAATGCTAGTATGTCGTCGAGCATTCTACGCATTGTCCGTAGAGGTGACGAGAGCATCACTTCGACTTCTTGGATTGGCGACAGCGTGTGGCGTGCCGCAGGACCCTTCGGTGGGCGCCGCCCACGGGGATGGGAAGGACATCTGCGACCAGGGCGAACCGCGTCGTGGAGGCGGAGGTTTTTACCTCCGGTGACCCAGCGATCGCTTGCTTCTTCTCTTGCCTCTTCCAGCCTCTTCCAAGCCCCACGCTACCTTCAATGCTCAGCGTGCTGCAGGGTCGTGCGGTGCTCGTTCTGCCCGCCTGTCTTTCCGAGCGAGATTGCGTTCCCGAGCACTCCGAAGCTGTGTGGCACGGCCTCTCGTTCGCGGCGGCCCAGGCGCGGGGCAGGGTGAACTCTTTCAGGGCGGGTCATGCCTGTTCCAAGCCCCAGAGTTCCCCGCAGGCGGCACCACCACGTGCGTCTACTCTGCATGCGCCTGCGGCCCAGGTAGTTTTCCTTAGGGGCGCCAATGGCATTCCGACACTTCCCCTTGCGCAGCCCAAACCCAGCTGCGCACGCAGTAGGCCGCCCTTCCTCTGCTACCAGCCGCGCGGCCCCCACGACCCTCTTGGCAGCTCCTCCAGCCGGTGACCCAGGGGATCCTTTTAGTCCAGTCTGGTCCACAGCCGCAGAGCGAACGCGCGCGTTCAAGGTGGAATCGATGGCGGCACGGGAGCGTTGGCGCGAGAGACGTCTCGGGAGGTCTCTTGGGCTCTCTCGGGAGGTCTCTTGAGGCCTCTCTGGGTCCCTCTTGGGCTTATCTTCGGGCGCATTGGAGCACTCGTGGTCTCGGCAATGTGAATATGACGTAATGTGGAAAGGTTTATGGCTTCGGAACGCGAATCTGGTGCATTGCTCAGGCCTTATGGCCGGTGCCGCCGACCCTGAAGACGACGACGACGAATACGAGGAGGAGGAGGAGGAGGAGGAGGAGGAGGAGGAGGAGGAGGAGGAGGAGGAGGAGGAGGAGGAGAAGGAGGAGGAGGAGGAGGAGGAGGAGGAGGAGGGGGATCCAGTTGCAAAGGTTTATGTCTTCGGGGACGCGAATCTGGTGTATTTTACGAAGGTTTGTTGCTTCGGAGACGCGCGAACTGTATACCTTACAAGGGTTTGTGGCCTCGGGGACGCGAACGTATTGTAATTAACAAGGGGTTCTTGCTTCTGGTATTGGTCTATAGGGCTACAGGGCTATAGGGCTATGAGGCTAGAAGGCTATAAGGCTCTAGGGCAATAGGGCTATAGGGCAAAACTTGCTATTAGGGCTATAGGGCTATAGGGCTATAGGACTACCGAGCACCCAGGCACCTGGGAGAACGCGATCTGGGCGTGTACTTGGGCGGTTTGGGGCTCCCCCCCCCTCGCGCGGACTTCAACAATGTACAGTAGGAAGCAGAAAGCAGGACTGTAACATTGGAGACTTGAAACTGCAACTGTTGCAGGAGCAGCAACTTCGTCCTACACACTGGTGGTCCCACAAGGGGGCTCGCGGATATGCACGTGCCTGTCGGGAAGACGGCACATTTTTCTCTCGCACCAGTGCGGTGCAGTTTAGGGGCACCGGCCAGTGTCCACCATTGACACCTCGCTCGGTAGCTTCGCCCTGCCTTGTCCGTTCCTTGCCTCATGTCTTTCTACTCCGAATGGCTTGCAGTAGCTTTCACAGCACTGGCGCTGGGGCAGTAGACATCAGGGGCAACGATAGGGGGGGATAGGCATAGGGGGGGATGCGTCGACCCCTAATTGCCCATTGATCGCCGATAGTGGTCCGATAGCCCTGATAGCCCCACCCCGTTCAGGAAGGTGCGGTTTCGCTAGCGGCGGCCTATCGCCGATTTAGTTGCGATGCATTGCCGATTCCAGGTCGACGCGTCCCTTCTTATACCAGTTCCCCCTATCGTTGCCCCTCGGGGAGGTACAAGGCGTCCGCCGCGAGGGTCGGCGCCCTCGCGCAAGCGTTGGGGGCCACTGGGCCTCGCCGCTCCCTGTCTATTGCTCAACTCCCTCTTTCCTTCGCCTCCTGCTCGAGGCCCAGCACTGCTATGCTAGGTGGGCTTTAGGGGTACCTGGCCACTTCGGCGAGGTTGGAGTTCGCACGCTTTTGCCGGGCCGTTTTTCCGTGGCGCGTCTCACGCATTCCCCAGGGCTTCCGCACGTAGACTTGCCCGCCTGAGCACGCAGAGCGCACTGCTCGCGTCCAGTCCCAAAGCGCATCCTCCCTCTTGCCTCATCCTTCTCCTCCCTCCTCTCTCCCACGCCTCGTGGCAGACAGCCAGCGTACTAGCATGTTGGGATCGCCGCGGCGGGCCCGAATCCGAGGCAATGAAATCACAGGTTGTGCCAGTTTAGGCATTCAGACAGTGCCACGACTACTGGAGGAGGGGGTAGCGCGATCATAAACCCCATCCCATGGGCTGAGGAGGAGGCGGCGGAGGAGGAACATGATAATAATGAGGAGGAAGAGGAGGAGGAGGAGGAGAAGGAGGAGGAGGAGGAAAAGGAAGAGGAAACGGAGGAGGTGGAGGAGGTGGAGGAGGAAACCCCTTCCACAGGCGTGCAAGTGCGACCCGCGCTTCATCCAGTACATGCTGGACGACTGCTGGGTCCCCGAGTGCCACGGAGCCTCGCAGTCCGACCCGGAGAGCGACTCGTCGTGCGTCCCGTCGGCAGCGGGGGCCCCCAAGCATGCCCACGAGTTGCTCTGGAGGAGGAGGAGGAGGAGGAGGAGGTGGTGGAGGAGGAGGAGGAGGCGGGAGGAGTGGCAGGGCTTTGGGCTGCGCACCGACAGCCCCAAGCACAATACATTGTCATAGTGATTTTTCGAGGCTGCTTACGACCGCGCCGCTGCGATCCGGGCGACTGCCTTCTGCCAGCGGCAGTGCGTGCAGCAGCCGCGCATTGCAACCGATGCGCCGTCCAAGGCACGGTTCTGACTTGACATGACCGACAGCCCCGAGAGGCAGTCTCTCACGGCTCGGCCCAACGGGTCCCACGGGGCAGTGAAAGAGCAGGGGGTGGCAGGGGGGCGGAGGGGTAGGAGGCTTTCGGAGGTGGATAGACCTCCTACCATGCCTGACACGTCGATTGAAGAATTGGCCGTTTTCGTTTCGCGAGGGGGCGTCGCGGCCGTCATTTTTGTGGGTCCAGGCCCGTCGGTTTCGGTCCCATGCCGTTTTCATTAAACATTGGTTTACTAAAGGGAGGTTTGTCCACCGCCGATTTTTGGTTTTCTTGTTTTTTCGGTGGGAGGATCGGGGCGGTCTCTTGGCGTTCAATATGGCTCGAGCTAAACGGTGTTCTGGAGGTCTCATGGGTGGGCCGTTTTCAATCTGCTTCGTTTTGCAGCAAAGGCGGAATGAAGACAGAACAGGGGAAATGAAACCAAAGGGAACCGAAAACACGGTTTAGCCAGAGCCTTGGTGTAAGGAGGAAGAGGAAGAGAGGGAAGAAACAGGGGCCAGACCCGCCCCCCTCCCCCCCTTGCACCCAACGTCGAAACGCCGAGCAAGAAAACTTTCACAATCTGGGGAGGGAGCAGAGGCGGGAAAGGAGCATGGAGCAACGGAGCAAGGAGCGGAGGGGGCGGGCATGTGTCAAGGGGAATCGTCCCCGACGCTTTGGAGACCCCCCGCAAGCAGCCACCCTGAAGCCGACGCCAGCCGGGCGCCACAGAGCAGATCAGGTGCCCGGTTTGGCTCGGTGTGGCCCGGCGGCGACAGCGATGGTGCTGCAGGGCTCTGTACGGGTCCTCCCAGCCGGGGGCAGAGGGGACGACGACGACGACGACGACGACCACCATGACGAGGACGACCACGACGACGACGACGACGACGGCGACGACGACGACGACGACGACGGCGGAGACGATGACGATGAGGACGACGCTATCGCCGTCGTCGTCGTCGTCGTCGTCGTCGCCGTCGTCGTCGTCGTCGTCGCCGCTGTCGCTGCAGCCGCCGCCGCCCGCCGCCGCAGCCGCCGCCGCCGTCTCGGGTCGGACGAAAGGGTGAAATGGGACAAGGGTTAAGTCGGGCATGTCCCTTTACAGGAGGAATATTTGAACATAGCCAAACAATAGTCGGGGGATGATTTTGGCGACTATTTTTGTTTTTTTGGGTATTCTTAATTCTTCGCGCGAGATCCTCTTGTAGTGGGACATGCCAGACCTAATACATGCCAGACCTAGGACAAGGGTTGCCCAAGCCAACCCCTGTGTCCAAGGGGCCAGACGCCGTGCATGCAGACTCGCCTGGTTTGCTTCTTCTTCCTCTTCTTCGTCTTCGTCTTCCTCTTTCTCTTCCTTCTCCCTCCTTCCTCTTCTTCGTCCTCTCTCTCTCGCTCTCTTCCCCTGTCTTCCTCCCTCTCCCTCTCCTCCTCTTTCCTCCTCTCCGTCTTGTCATTTCCGATTTTTCTTTGTCTTTATTTCTTTCTTCCTCTTTATTTTCACCTAACAGCGAAGACTGATAGGTTTCTAGTGGGCTCAAGAGAGAGTATCTTGACGCCCCAGGGGGGTCTGGGCGGGATCCGGACAGAACCGGACAAGAGCGCAGCCCCAGGAATCCTTAGGAATCTTTTTTAGGAATTCTTAGGAATCCTTAGGAATCCATTCCCAGAACACCATTCCCAGGCCACATTTTGAATGCCCGGAGCCAACTGTAGGCCACTTCGTGTTCCTCGTGTTCCAAGAACACCATTCCCAGGCCACATTTTGAATGCCCAGAGCCAGCTGTAGGCCACTTCGTGTTCTTCGTGTTCCCAGAACACCATTCCCAGGCCACATTTTGCATGTCCGGAGCCAACCGTAGGCCACTTCGATTTCTTCGGCTTCCCAGAACACCATCCCCAGGCCACATTTTGAATGCCCGGAGCCACGTGTAGGCCACTTCGTGTTCTTCGTGTTCCCAGAACACCATTCCCAGGCCATATTTTGAATGCCCGGAGCCAAGTGTAGGCCACTTCGTGTTCTTCGTGTTCCCAGAACTTCATTCTCAGGCCACATTTTGAATGCCCCGAGCCAAGTGTAGGCCACTTCCTGTGCCATTTTTTGAATGCCCGAGCTGAGGCAGGCTGAGGCCGAGGCAGGCTGAGGCCGAGGCAGGCTGAGGCTGAGGCTGAGGCACGCCGAGGCAGGCTGAGGCTGAGGCTGAGGCAGGCTGAGGCTGAGGCAGGCTGAGGCTGAGGCTGACTGAGGCTGAGACTGAGGCAGGCTGAAGTGAGGCTGAGGCAGGCTGAGGCTGAGGCTGAGGCTGAGGCTGAGGCTGAGGCAGGCTGAGGCTGAGGCTGAGGCTGAGGCTGATGAGGCTGAGGCAGGCTGAGGCTGAGGCTGAGGCTGAGGCAGGCAGGCTGAGGCTGAGGCTGAGGCAGGCTGAGGCTGAGGCTGAGGCTGAGGCCGAGGCAGGCTCAGGAGGCTGAGGCTGAAGCTGAGGCAGGCTGAGGCTGAGGCTGAGGCTGTGGCTGAGGCTGAGGCAAGCTGCGGCTGAGGCTGAGGCTGAGGCTGAGGCTGAGGCACTGAGGCTGAGGCTGAGCAGGCTGAGGCTGAGGCTGAGGCAGGCTGAGGCTGAGGCTGAGGCAGGCTGATGCTGAGGCAGGCTGAGGCTGAGGCTGAGGCTGATGCAGGCTGAGGCTGAGGCAGGCTGAGGCTGAGGCCGAGGCTGAAGGCAGACTGAGGCTGAGGCTGAAGCAGGCTGAGGCTGAGGCTGAGGCAGGCTGAGGCTGAGGCTGAGGCTGAGGCTGAGGCAGGCTGAGGCTGAGCTGAGGAGGCTGAGGCTGAGGCTGAGGCTGAGGCTGAGGCTGAGGCAGGCTGAGGCTGAGGCCGAGGCTCAGGAGGCTGAGGCAGGCTGAGGCTGAGGCTGAGGCAGGCTGAGGCTGAGGCTGAGGCTGATGCAGGCTGAGGCTGAGGCTGAGGAGGCAGGCTGAGGCTGAGGCTGAGGCCGAGGCAGGCTGAGGCTGAGGCTGAGGCAAGCCGAGGCAGGCTGAGGCTGAGGCTGAAGCTGAGGCAGGCTGAGGCTGAGGCTGAGGCAGTGGCTGAGGCTGAGGCAAGCTGCGGCTGAGGCAGGCTGAGGCTGAGGCTGATGCAGGCTGAGGCTGAGGCAGGCTGAGGCTGAGGCTGAGGCAGGCTGAGGCTGAGGCTGAGGCTGAGCAGGCTGAGGCTGAGAGGCCTGAGGCTGAGGCTGAGGCTGAGGCTGAGGCCGAGGCAGGCTGAGGCAAGCTGAGGCTGAGGCTGATGAGGCTGAGGCAAGCCGAGGCAGGCTGAGGCTGAGGCTGAAGCTGAGGCAGGCTGAGGCTGAGGCTGAGGCTGTGGCTGAGACTGAGGCAAGCTGTGGCTGAGGCTGAGGCTGAGGCTGAGGCTGATGCAGGCTGAGGCTGAGGCAGGCTGAGGCTGAGGCTGAGGCCGAGGCAGGCTGAGGCTGAGGCCGAGGCAGGCGAATTCTTCGGAATCCTTAGGATTCCCTAGGAATCCTTAGGAATCCTTAGGAATCCCTAGGAATCAGGTTTCCTAAGGATTCCTAAGGTTTCCTAAGGATTCCTATGGATTCCTAAGGATGCCTAAGGATGCCTTAGGAATCCTTAGGAATCCTTAGGATTCCATTGGATCCTAAGGCCGTTGCCACTGCGACTGTCATTGCGAATGCGACTGCGACTGCGAGAACAGCAGAATTCTACAACTGGATTCTCACCTGAATCTTAAGGGGAATGCTTCCAGGTATGCTTATACACATCGCTGTTAGGTTGCTTTGCCAGGATCATTTTCTTCCTCCCTCCTTTTTCCCTATTCCTCGCAGCAGTGTGCCAGCTGTGCTTTGCTGCGGGAGCCTCGTAACCATCTTACATCCTTCTTGTAACACTCTCACGGCGATCTTACAAACCAGCGGTGTGCAGGGACATCGATCCAGTGTCTACCACGGGAAACAAATAATATTCATGAACCAGCAGGCTCGGACCGGTCGGGCAGGCCCTGCTTAACTGACCGGGACGTGGGGGCCACCTCGGGCAGGTGTGCGAACAGCCCATTCCAGAGATCTCATAACACGACTCGTTTCATATCTCGCTTCCTATTTCAGGAATCGTGTTTGGAATTTGGACAGGCTCGTAACGCCGATGGGCGCAAGCAAATTATGCTCAGACCATTGTGATCCTACCTGGGGGGTTTCCTCCTTCGCCCCTCCCTGTCCCTGCTTTTTCTCTTCCTTCCCCCTCCCTCCCTCTATCTTTCCTTCTCCTTCCCTTCCCCTTCCCTTTTCCCCCTTTCCCTTCCACTGGGCTTAGGGGCGATGCGTGTTGACAGGGCCCCCCCCTGGGCGCTGTCTGACTCCGGCAGACGGTGGTCCCCAGCCAAGCAGGATCTGGATCTGCTTCACAGTCGCGTCGCGGGGCGGTGCAACGCACCGGCATTTCTGCTTCACAGTCGGGTCGGTTGGGGTCAGGGCGTCGTGGATTCATCTTGTGCCGTTGCCCCGTCCCCCGCTCCTGTTCCCTTCTCCCCTGCTCCTGCTCCCGTCCCCCTTCCTGCCCTCGGGGCGTCAGACTCATTGCGCAGTAAACGTCGCCCCTCCTTGGGCGCCTGCGGAAGCCTTCTAAATGAGTCAGGAACTTCGCTTTCAGTTATCTCGCTTTCGCTTTGAGATCTCGTGTCTCACCAGTGATGCCTCACAAAGTTCAGGGTGGC